GTCTTAGTATGTTATGAGTAGATAAGTACCTAGTGAGTTGGTGATTTCAAACTTATAATTAGAAATCCAGGTTTCCCCGTGGAAGACTTAACGGGTTGCCGGGGCTCCGGCTCGACACTCCCTCTCGCCTCACCCGCGCGGGACAAGTCATTGGATAATTTTCCCCCCTTAAAAAAAGGTTTCCTCACGATGTTTTCCTTCACCGTTTGTCAGTGGTGTCTGTCTTTTCTATTCTGCCGCTATCATAAGGCGTTTATTATTGTATGTATGTATGTAAAATACATAGACTATAGCCCATTGTAAAAATATTAGGCTTATTTTTATGACCACTATTAAGCTAATTGTACACGTAATTAACTAATTACGCATATTTTAGTTTATTTTAAGTTTATTTACCTTTTCATTATGTCTAAGACTCGAGAGATTGTCGTACAGTTAAAATTAAGCGGGTCTTAAATTATAATGCTTCATTTTCCTTAGATATAGTAAGCCTATTGCCAAATGCTGAGGCCTTAGTAGATTGGTTGATTCATTACAGTCGGCCAATCGTAGCAATATAGACAATTATTTTAAGTTTCTAAGTTAAGATGAATCTTCGAACTGGTCTAACTCCTTAATCTTGGATCCTACAACTTTCACGCCATATTAACTTTTGCTCCAAATGGCTAGTTCTAACGATACGTACCATTACTGTTCGTTGGCCGGAACGAACTTTCAGATAAGGCAAAAATAAATGTATGGAGCCGAAATGATCTAGTGTGATACTTTTTTATCCAGGGGACGCGGGCGAAGTCACCGGGAGAAGCTAATCTAAATAATATTACCTATAAATGCGAAAGTTTGTGAGTGAGTCTGTTTGTGCACGTCAAAATGGCTGAAGGAATCGAGATGATTTCGACCAAGGGTCTGGAACTAGTCTGGACATAGGCTACTTTTTATTCCACGAAAACACGGACAAAGCAGGCAGAAGATCAGCAGTAGTACTCAGGCAGTACTCTTTAATACGTACTTTGAACTCCTCCTGTCTCTTTTCCAAAGTATCCAATCGTTTCTCCATAGTGGACAGTTTTGTCCGAACGTCATCCGCGATACAATTGCATAATTTCAACGATTCGCCAAATATTCGCATCTTACATTTAAACTCATCAAAATCACTGCGAAATCTGGAAAAGAAAGATTAAAATACAATGTAAAATCTAGCTATGGTATAGGTAGTGCGTCTCTCTTTCCGCGGATGTCGTATACCCGACTAAGGGACTACATGATAGACAGAGACCGTGCAGCAGCGCTCTCTGATAAACCTGAACCTTTTATACTACGATCTTCAACCCACCTGCTTGCGCAGAGATAGTGGCAAGCTCTTTTACCGGTATCGGAGATTAGCATTTAACATATAAACATTTCAGCTTTATGATCACTTTTTGTGGAGAGAAAATCATCCAATGACTTCTCCCGCGTTGGGTTGGGCGAAGGAGTCAGACTCTTACTGACTATACACAACTCCTACTTCAAGCCGGGGCTGCTGTAGCTCGCAAGGAGGTCCGCAGCGCTGAGGAGTTATTATCTATAGGTCTTAAAAAATAACTATCTCTTATTATTTTTGTGTGACCTTCCTTCCTTCCCTGCTTCCTTGGTACATAACATACTAGAGGTAAATAGGTAGGTAGGTAACGAAAGGTAGTTGTACCCACTTAGTTTTTAGCAAATTTTGGTGGTGCTTGGCGACTGGGCTTCTCCCAGTTATACAGTTTCTTTTTGTGCCTTTAGGCTTAATTCACTCTGTCTCCTGCAGTAATTCACCGAGGGAAGTGGAAACTATCGTTTTTTTTTCTTCTCCTCTTCTAATATCTTCTGATTCACTTCGTTGCGGGAACCAAGACAATTGTTCCTGTCTCTGGGACTTAGTGTTCCGGTGTTTGTATGGATGTATCTACTGTAGATCCTAGTACAAAGTGGTTGCAGCGGTTTTGGGAGGTTGGGGCGGACTTGTCCCACAAAAGGAATCCATATAGATAGAGATTTTATGGTTTCTTTTCAACTTTGTTAAAGCTGGAGAGTTATGGTATGTCTTATAGTAATAGGTACTAATCTATATATATAAAAATGAATCCCCTTTTCCCTTGGGCACGGCATCAGGCGTGAATGGCTGGACCGATTTCATTAATTCTTTTTTTTTGTTGTATTTGTAATTATTAGGAGAAGGTTCTTAGGACAGAAAAAATCCTGTAAATCCTACGGGAACGGGAGAAAACGGGATTGAGCGTACGAAGTCGCGGACAGAATCTAGTAAGCTATAATAAAATATAGCTTCATAAAATGGCAGGTACTTAACTTATTTACATGTGCCTATGACTAACCTGGATATAGAAGATGTCAGAGAAGTACGAGAGATACCTTCAGGTGTTTCTCGAAAGGAGACCTTGCTGCATTCAGATTTCTGCTCTTTAACTTCTGGCCCATCGCTACTGTCTGATGAAGAGTCTTGTAGTCTTATGTTAATAACCTCGCCATTGTTAATTTCATGTTCAAAGATCTTGCGATATTTATTTTTTCTGGATTTCAAAAACTCGTGTAAAGAGCTTTTTGGTATAACTCTTATTATGTCGTGATTGCTGTCCTGTTTGTTTCTATCTTTGGAATAGTCTGTTAAAGATTTTTTCGATAAAACGCTGAATACGGCGCGAGGCGCGAGATCCTCCCGTTTCTTCTTTGGTTTTGTTATTAATATGTTCGTGTGTGAGCGTTTTGAAGACATTTTTTTGGTGTTTTTTGGCGGTTTATGTATTGTTATTGTTGTTTAATTGTCATTTTGATTGACTTGATAGACGTGGTGTGATGCATTTTTGGTATGAGACATATATTTTTGGTTCTATTAAGCAAAGGCTATAAAACAAAGTAGCTTCTCTTGCATAGTTGTCATATAAAGAAAATATTTCTACATTAAAATTTTTAACGTAGGTTATTTAGTAAAAAAGTATTTGACTTAATTCATAAAAATAAAATAATTTTGTTATAAAAACTAGAGTAACGCCATCTATTCTCCGTATAGCGGAAACTATACGTGTGGTTTCTGTCTTAGTAATATTACTATTCAACACTAGATGGCGATATTGTGAATAGATTCACTACTGCACGCTAGATGTCTCTTAATAGTTTAGTTTTAGGAACGAATAAGAGATGGCGTCTACGTTTGAGTAGTAAAAACTTCAAACATTGTAAGACAGTTGTAATTTTTATTATTCATCACTTTATTCGTTTCATATTCCTATTTAAACTTTTCTTTCTTTTATTTCTGTATATCCAATTAATTGAAATTAAATCAATTCAAATAATGATTTAATTGTTATTTTGTAATGTATAAAATTTTATAAGAAATAATTTTCCAAGCTAAGGTGTTATCAAAACTTGGCTAGAGAACGAATTACATTGTTGTTACAAAATTCTTAAGTATCAATAAACTTTTATTATTTCTTTTTCAAACTGTTTTGAATAAGATTAAAAAGAATCTCACTCAAACTGAGAGGGATTCAAATCCGATATCAAGTACCTAAACTAATATAGTCAGTTCTTTGACTTTCTTTGACCACCATCATCATCATCATAAGTCTAAGTCTTTATCTGTACCATTACTAGGCAAAGAAGCCTAAAGAAGGCTTCTTCTCATATGGAGAAGGAACGAGCATTATTGCACGACGCGACGCTTGCCATTTGGAAGTGAGTTGTGAGTTGAGCGCGGAGGAACGGGGTGGTGTTTACCTAGTCAGTAAGCGTCTGAAACTCCCTCTCGCCTCACTCAAGGCGCCGTATTCATTGGATGTTATTTTCTCCATTTTCAAAAAAAGTTTTTTACAGTGCCGGGCAAGGGGTCTCGGGTTCAATTCCCGGGTCGGGCAGAATACTACTGGGTTTTAAAAAAAATCTCAGTAGTAGCACGGAGTCTGGAATTGTGTCTGGTATATGGCAATAGGGTCACCCTCTATTACATGGGACTTATAACATAAATAGTGAAAACTGGGTGTTATACTGTACAATGGCATACAATGGCGTGATGTTATGTTATGTTATGTTATGTGTTATTTGGAAGTATAAGTGTAGGTATTTTATATAATTGAACAACTTAAATAATCGGTACTAATATGATTGGTATTTGTACCGTTCTATCCAAATATATGTATAAATATGTTATATATAAATAAATAAATATGTTATAAGTAGTAAGTCGTAATAAAACAAAAAAAATATTTGTAAAATCCATTTATTTCAATTATTTAAATCTTATTTTGTAGACAATAATTAATAAGAAATGTTTTATAATAATACATATTTTTATTATTATAAGTAAGCTGACTGGATATTTACTAATCGGCTATTTGTCATACTTTATATAAAAAATACTTATTTTTATTGTTTTATACCTCACTGGTTTCAATTTTAAATATAAAAATGTTTTTTTGTACATTTTCTTTTTTATTAAAATTTTTGTTGAAATTTTTTTGATTGTTTGACTTTTAAGATTAAAATCAGTGAGTTTTTTGTCTCGTTTTTACGACTAAATACCAATGTTATTAGATAGTCGACCATTTTGGCCAATTTCTATCATCCAATATGGTCAAATTTCTAATCTTTCATTCTTCTTTTACTTAAAAAACATTATAAAAAAGATTATCAATGTACTATTCTTAGTTATAAAATAAGATTTATTAAAAATAAAAAGCTGGGACGGGGGGCAAATAAAAATTAATACTTTTAAAAATTAGAAAAATTGGCAGTTTCAAAATTTATAAAAATTTAAAGCCCTGTTTAAATAAAAATATATAAAATTAAAAATAAAATAATATACTGGGAGTCTGAACAAAACAAGTAATACATACATAAATAAGTACGTAAAATACTAGGTATTCGTGAAAAAAATTAAATATAACCTACCTATTTACAGATCTTTATAATATTTATTTATAAATAAAAAAAATATAATATCATTAATAAAAAAAATTAGAAATATTTCGCTCGCAGTTTCCTTGTAAAAAAACACAACAATTATTATTTTATTAAAAAAAACAAACAAATTTTGACCAGAATAATGGTAACTTCGCTTGTAGGAACTGGAGTATTACATTTTTTGTACTGTAAATAAGTTTAATTTACATAAAAAACCCAATTGTTTAAGTATAATAAAAAAAAACACAAAATAAAATGATGAATAAAAAATTTTATGGCACATAGTCCACTCCAAAGCAATAAGTTACCAATTTTTTTCGTTTTTATATCAAGTCATCGTTGTTCATTTTCCTTCGACACATTTGCATTTGGCGTCGTGGACGTGGCCGGCTCCAACCACTTCTGAGAATGAAGGGTTAAAGGACACGCTTGGGGCTACAACTTGCTGGCTCGTCTGACTTCCAGAAGTCTGGTAATCGAATCGGATGATTTGAGGCTTAGTGGTGTACGTCACAATCTTGGGTTTAGTAGTATAAGTGATAATCTCCGGTTTCGTCGTGAAAGTGACAATTTCGGGTTTTGTAGTGTAAGTTACGATTTCAGGTTTGGTGGTATAGCTGATGATTTCAGGTTTAGTGGTGTAAGTCACGTATTTCGGTTTCGTTGTGTAAGTGAAGTATTCGGGTTTGGTCGTGAAAGTGACAATTTCGGGTTTGGTCGTGTACGTCACGATTTCTGGTTTGGTGGTATAGCTGATGATTTCAGGCTTAGTCGTGTAGGTAACGTATTTAGGTTCGGTTTGGAAGAACTTCTTTTCAGTGATAGTTGTGGTGAAGGTCTTCTGAATGGGTCCCTTGACTTCAGTTGAGAATTCTCCTGAGCCAGTGCCGAAGTTAGCTGATCCGAATTGGGTGAACTCTCCTGATTGGCCTTGTCCTGCGATACCGAAGCCCTTGATGCCGAGTCCTGATCCAGAGCCTTGGCCTGAGATTTCGAAGCCCTTAATGCCTAGTCCACTACCAGAGACGGCTGTTGCTCCTGAGGAGACTGAACCCTTGATACCGATGCCGGATGAACCCTTGATGCCAACTCCGGAGGTGCCCTTGATGCCGAAGCCAGTGGTTCCCTTAACTCCGGTGCCATAAGTGGTCTTGATACCAGTGCCTTGGGTGATGATCTTGTTCTTGGTGACCTTGACGACGGTGTACTTTTCGAATCTGACGCTCTCGATGAGACCGATGGCCCATTCGTACCATTCGAGGTCGAACTTGTAGAATGAGGCGAGCTGGTTGCCTGTCTGGCAGCCTGGAAGAGAGAATGGAGATTTAGAAATAGATGTAATAGATGGCTATTGAGGATGCTATGGTCCTATACTGAGATGGCATTTGGTCGCTCAGGTTTATTGTTCAAGAAATTGGTCTTCATGTCTGCACACACATTTTTAGTGTGTACCATTTATGAATACTTGAAATATCTCTGGTGTCGCCTAGGTCCTTCCTTCTTCCTTAGATTTTTTCAGTGTCGAAACTTTCAACAGTGCAAAATTTGAAACTGTTATCACTAAGTTACTTCCTTAATGTCAAAATCTTCTTCAGGCGCTTTAACATGAGTAATATAATAAATATGATGATGATTATGCTTACCAGAGTCCCAGGAGTAGATTCCTCTGAGGACGTAGTGGTTGTCACCAGTTGTGCAGGCGAGGGCGCTACCGATGTCGACCTGTAATTAAAGCGTGATGTTATAAAAGAGGCTCTTATATTATAAGGCGGGCCACTATCTGGCCTGGCAGTAAGCGATGATGCGGTCTACGATGGAGCACGTCGTCCCATAAGCAACCTATTCACTCGGGCCTTGAAGACACCCAGGTTATACCCTTCAGGAAACACAGAGTCTGGTAAAGAGTTCCATTCCTTAGTAATTCTTATCAAGAAACACTATGCATAACGCTTGAGTTGTTTCTTCAATAGTCTATGGCCAAAAAGGTGATCTCAATTCAAAATCTTGGAATCTTCAACTGTGTCGGGTGTACGACACCCACGTGAAGAGTAGCGGTGCTAACAAAATAATATTATCTTACCTTGCAGATGTTGTTGGCTGGGTTGGTAGGCTGTCCACAGACGCAGCTCTCCTGGTCGTAGTGTTCCAGAAGGTGAGGGTAGTCCTGGGTGATCTTGGACTCGCATTCTCCAGGGTTCAGAAGAGATACGTTCATGCTGTGCATGATACTGCCGAGGAGATGAGCTGGAAAGAAGCAGAAAGGGAGTTTAGTATGAGTGTATTTTATTTTAAACATAACCTCATATTAGAAATTTCTCCTGTACCGTGGGTGCAGTTACAAGTACCTATTACAATTCGGTACTTTCCTACAAAAATAAATTAATTCGACTGTTCAATACAATAATATATTCAAAAATAATCACACTTTCATTAATTGATTTTATGATCTTTAAAAAAGTATTGAATTTGGCTAGTTGGCAAGTAACCAATTAATATACTACATGAGATTGCAGTATAAAAGGTTCAGGTTTATCAGAGAGCGCTGTTGCCCGATTAGTCTAGTTTGTAGTCCCTTAGTTGGGTATACGATACCCGCGGGAAGATTAGGGGTGGTGACGAAATATATTCTCCTCGCCACTGGTAAATAGTTCTATTATTATGGCAGACTAGCTTCTGTCAGCGGCTTTGCTCGCTTCCCCGGTATAAAAATTACACCATGAGTTATTATAGATTTCAATTCCTTGAACTAAATATCATCCATACCAGTCCAGTCGTTTATTCGACAAATAATAAGAAACATACAGACATAATAACAGTTTAACAATAATAATAGTTTATTATCTATGGTTTTAGGGACTTTTCGTTCAGGAACATGTCAGCCCCGTTAGGACATATTTTCTAACATCTAACATTATATTTAACTAAATTGGTCGAAGTATCACTGATGCATAAAGGTCTTATATAGAGCAATGGCTGCAGACGAAGTGGGATTCGCTAGAATAGAGGAAAAACAACCAACATCTAACGCATTCAATTTAAATTCACGTATCAGTGATTCTCGGCCTCCGACATATTACCTACATACTACTACCATATCGTCAATAATACCACATATTTCACAATTTTGGAAAATAATAAAAGTAGAATTTCATCTAAATCCATTCAGTAGTGTTTATATATACCTAATCATTAATAATGATGTCATTGATCCGGATTTACGAAATCTGATGATCTAATTTCAACATCTTGGTAAAATAATATTTTTCATATATCTATGCAAACCCAACGAAGTATTATTTTATTATTAACTATTCATTTCAATTAATATGTAACATCCTTATGTAAAAAGTAATTGGGTTATTATGACTCAAACGTCGAAATCTCTAAACCAATTTTGATAAAATTTAGTAGCCATAGAGATAGTACACATTTTAAAGAAAATTAAGAAAATTTGATGAAATCTTGCACAGACATAAATAAACAATAGGAGATGATTATCAAGTAAAAATACAGACGTGAGCAAACCCACGTGCAGGAGCTAGTTGTTGAAAATTACGAAATATTTTTGCAATCTTTGGCATTTTAATCGAATCAAATTTTGCGTGTTTATTCAGTGTGAGCCCGGCAAGGTTAATTATTTTATTCTATAAGATTCTATGTGTTAATAGGTATTGATTATTCATGTTTTTAACCGACATTGCAAGTGGGAGGTTGTGTGTTCGACCTTTGTTGTGTTGGCGTGATTCGTTGCAGATGTTTTCATACAACTAGCTTGTGTCGGTGGCTTCGCTCGTGTTCTCGTGGGTAATAATAAAGGCTATTGATGCTTTAGCTTAATTTTTATAGTGTCCAAATCTATCTGAGAAGTTTTAAAGCCGAAAAGTTCCTCCTGCCAGCTTCTGGTGGGACAAAAAGTAGCCTATGTATTATTCTAGACCATAATCTACCCCTGTTATAATTTCATTCTAATCCCTTCAGCCGTTTTAACGGGAAGGCGTAAAAACACACACACAAACACGAACATTCGCATTTATAATAATATAAAAGTATTAAAAACTGAATAAAGCATGAAAGAGTTTTAATTATTTTTTTATAGGTCTAAGAAGGAAGGTCTAGGAATAAAATAAACATTCTCATAGCATGCCCTGGGTATGACCTGCGACTAAGTATGGGCAGCGGCACCCTTTCAAATTTTCAGTGATCTCTAACAATGCCAAGACTGGGGATTATCCCGAAGCTACCTGCCAAGATAGGGGATTATCGCGAAGCTACCTGCCGAACATGGGGATTAAGGTTTTTGTTTCCTAATGGGCTTATTTTAGTTGATTATAATGATGATATTATATTAAGATATATGTTTATTCGCGTATTGAGATATGCAATAGGCAATAAGTCATCATAATATCTTGTGATTACTTATGAATTAATGTTAATAATGTCTAATTAATAATAATCAAAATAATTCATTAACTATTTTCACAATTTAATAATTATGTACATACATAATAGTTTGTGTGTATTGTATACATACATGGATAAATTTATTTATTTATTATTAGCAATATGCATAAAATCAATATTATAAATTTTATATTTTTATGAACATGTCGATTGTTCAAGGATACACTTGTAATTTATTATCCTGATTTATTAGCGTTAGTAATATTTTTATTAATTCAAATTTTATTAGATTGATAGTAGATTTCAAATGACGTCACCCTTTCTATTCTCCGATGAGGTAGACAGGTGCGCATATACAATGTAACACCCACTTTTCACTATTTATGTTATGAGTCCCATGTAACAGGGAGTGAGCCTTTTGAGTACTCCTTAGATTAGTGCGTACACAAACAAACAAATCCCTCAGCTTTAATAAAATATAATACAGTATATAAGATTTTAATATTGAGCAAGGGGTCTCGGGTTCGATTCCCGGGTATGGCAAAGTATTACTGCGGTTTTAAAAAAAATCTCAGTACCGTAAAATGGGGTGGATAGGAATCGAAAGATGAACTGATATTGGGAAATTCTTCATAGTATCGATTCACCCCTCTTCTGTCTCTATTCACTTCTCGATCGCTATTCACCCCATTTTACCAGTAGTCGCACGGAGTCTGGAATTGTGCCCGGTATATGGCAATAAGCTCACCCCCTATTAAATGGGACTCATAACATAAATAATGAAAAGTGGGTGTTACATTGTACAGTGGCATTAAGTGCAGTAATGTGCACCTCTGCCTACAAATATAAAAGACATGACAAGAGTTATATTATTTTAATATTGAACACGAATGAGCTCATTATAATTGAAGCCTTCACGCTATCTTCCCTTTTTGGGGCGTGCAGAATTGTAAATAATGGTTATAATAACAAATTCGTAACGGGGATTTGTTTTAAATCATGAGAGCGGTCTTTAAGCCTATTGTTCAACTCCAAAATGGATACTGTGTATGGTATTAGGGTCATCTTATATTACGTGGGACTCGTAACTTGACGGGTAATCATGTTATTTAATATCCAGGTAAGAAAACAAAGATAGATTCAGTACCGAGACAGTAGCTATTGTAACTAAATTGTACGCTTTGTAACGAAGCCATGTCTTTTGTAACTCAGTCGACTCTAGATAACCAATGGTTACTGTCTCTGAACTGAATCCTTTTTTTTCTTATTACACAACATAACATCGTGGTAGGCAGAGGTGCACATTACGGCACTTAATACCACTGTAGAGGTACAATGTAACACCCACTTTTCACTATTAATGTTATGAGTCCCATTTAATAGGGGGTGAGCCTATTGCCTTATGACGGGTACAAATCCAGAGTCCGTGCTACTACTGAGGTCTTTTTAAAAAACCAAGTAATACTTTTCCCGACCCAGGAATCGAACCCGAGACCCCTTGTTCGGCAGGATTTTATTTTTTAATCTGCATGCTAAATAACTTGGCTGGCTGTACCTCTGTCAATGTATCCTCGTGATATATTACGTAAATATCTATAAAATAATTTGCATACAAAATATTATAATCTAGCTATATGAGAACAATGCAAATATATATAATTGTTTAACAATAAATATTGATATAGAATAGCTAAGGAATTCACGACTGTCAATTATCTAATAATAACTTGTGGTTAAATTTTGACCTTAAGTTAAATGTGACGGGGCCGACAGAATATATTACATTTGGCACCACCGCTACTCTTCCCGCGGGTGTCGTATACCCGACTAAGACACTACATATTAGACAGAGACTGGACAGCAGCGCTCTCTGATAAACCTGAACCTTTTATACTGCGACCTCCAACCCGCCTGCCTGCGGAGATTATGACAAACCCCTCTTATGTAGAGGAGACTCATAGTGCAGCAGTGGACTGTCAGGGACTGGTGATAATGATCATGATTATCTCTTCTTTTCTAGGTAAAGTTAATATGCAATTTTAAGTGCAACTCAGGTAATGTAACGATGGAGTTTCTTGTTTGTTGTTCTCCCTTCGTGTGGGAGACCCATGCTTCGGCACGAATGGGCCGGCTCGACCAGAGATACTACGGCCGAGCAGAAAACTGACGTAAAACAACCACAGCGTTATGTTTCGTCGTGTGAGTGAGGTTACCGGAGGTCCAATAACATCCGTCCTCAAGCCCCAACAATCCTCAAATTCCTAATCCCCAATCGGCAGGTAACGCATATACGCTCTGGTGTTTCGAATGTCCATAGGCGTCGATACCATCAGGGGAACCATGTTTGTTTGAAGCGGTGGCTAGGCAACTGGCTGCCGCATAACGTGTCGCGGGTTCGAGTCCTGCACGGAACAACTCTTTGTATGATCCACAGATTGTTGTTACTGGTCTGGGTGTCATGTGTATGTGAACTTGTTCGTATACGCACCCACGACACAGGAGACAATCCTAGTGTGGGACAAAGTTATCAAAAAAAAATTAAAATAAAATTTTGGAACGAGGACTTAGCTTCACTGACAGACAGACAGATTCAATTGTTATTCAAATTGATTTTTACAAGCAAATGTGAACTTTAAATCAATTAACGAAAGAATTCGATAATTGTCGAAACAATCTCCATACTTTTAAGCTGATTCTTTTGTTTTAATATTCAATATATTTGCATTGGAATGTGTTTATTATATTTCAAAGTCATTCGATCTTTACTTTTACCTGACCCAGTTTTACGTAATACCACGCCTTTTTTGAAAAGAGATGGGCAGTTATCATACGATTGAGTTTGT